CTGTGGTGAAGACAGAAGATCAGCAGAGACCCCCCCCCCAAGGTTTTCTTCTATGTGGGTCTTTTCATGTCGCCCTCTCCCCCGACTCCACGGTCGAGTCTGGACACGCCGCAGCACTTCAAACACAGAGACGAGCAGATCTGAGCTCAAACGCTGAACGCATCATATTTCCTGAGATTAAGGCGTCGTGGCCTCCATCTGAACCGTCCTCGTCCCGGACCCAAGCTCAGCGCCTCTACACGGGTTTAACGATAAGGGGCCAGAACACGTCTGTTACATGTGTCCAACTTCACTGACACGTGTCTGTAACACGACTGAACCTTCACGTCCATGACGTCATTGACGACAGATCTATTTCTGATTTGAATCAACATCCTTTGACCAAAGTAAAGATCCAAAGTGCAAGATCAACTTTCTAGAATCACGTCTCTGGTGGAGCTGAAACGATGAATTAAGGTCGATTCTGTCGACTGATCCAGGGTCTGTTTTCCTCTGAGACTCTGGTGGAAGAAGATTCCTGTTCTCTTTGCTGCACGTCTCTGGTATTTGTGAAATGTCCAGGACTGTCCATTAAACATCATTTTGTCCAAACAGAGACAAATGTCAACAGGAAACTTCCACTTTGACCAAACAGCCCGATGACGAAACCATCAATCTCTGTAACGCTACTACATTACCCACAATCCTACATGATGACATCAGAACATCTGCAGCTTCAGAGCTGAGGGTTTTGACGTGACACAAAAAATGAGACAAAAAACTCAAACCAACACAAATTTTCTTCTCTTTTGTTTTTTAAACCAAAAAGATTCTTTTTCTCTGGACTCATCTCAGACAACAGCTGTTTGAAAAGAAGAGCCGAGCTCTCTCAGAAGCTTCCAGAGTTTGTCTTCATCACAGAGAACGAGGCCTGAGCTCTAATTACGAAGCAAACGAAGCCACAAAGAAAACACGGCCCGGGGGGGGGGGTCAGAGGCGTCTGATTAGAGACAGAGCACCTGAGGCTGCAGACTCTCTACCAGCAGTGACTCCACCACTCAGGAATCCACTGTTAAAAACAGGCCGCAGCCTCGCTGCAGAAATAGACAGGTATTTTTAAAAGGCCGAGTCGGAGCTATCCCGGCGGCACATGGAGAAGACATCTGATTGGTCGCTCAGTGTCCAAGGTGACGTCTTCCCGTCACGTGTTGTGTCCAACCTGGTGTCCGTCTCACTTTACTGTCGTTACAATTATTGATCACAACTGTGGTTAATTATCAGCCGATCAATTATGTGAGATTAAAATCTGATGAGATCAGCAGATTCACACCTTCACCAACAAACCCAGAAATAAAACCTCATGTGCTCCTGAGTTCAGGGAGTAACAGGTCACATGACAGCTCCTGGTCCTCCTCACAGCTCTGAGGCTGCTTTCATGTGAAAACTCTGGAAACTCTGGGGCTGCGTTTTATTCTGGACCAAGAGGAACCTGTCACATGACCTCCTTCAGAAGAAAACAAGGGTTTCTATGTGTCTCTCTCTCGTGTCTAACGTCTCTTCCTCTCGTTGTAGAAATGAAATCTGTTCAACTTTACAAGTTTTAACAACTTCACAAAATCCCTCAGATCGTTTCCTGAAATCTGAAAATACTGACGATCAAACCAACGTCTCAAAACCAAAGACATACAGAGACAGACAGACAGAGACAGACAGACAGAGAGGGAGAGACAGGGAGAGACAGGGAGAGAGAGACAGACAGAGAGAGACAGAGAAGGACAGAGAGAGACAGGGAGAGAGACAGACAGAGAGGGAGAGAGAGAGGGAGAGA